CGGCGGGGCCCCCTGCCAGTGGGCCCTCTCCGACCAGTTTGCAGAGGAGAGGGCCAACGTGCACGTCAAGCTGTGCGGCATATTCCATCCCCATTTAGTCGATGCCGTGATGAGCCGTTTCCCCCAGCTTTTGGATCCCCAAAGGTTAGCTGCAGAAATACTCACGTACAAGTCTCAAAACCCAGGCATATGAGCGGGTGCTGAGGGGAGCCAGGCCTGCCCAAAGCTGGAGGGGCTGTGTTTGTCTCGTGGAGAGTATTCTGCACCTGCCGTAGAGACTTTGGAGCGCTGCTCCTTTCTCCCTGGAAGCGCTGGGCTCAGGCTGGATGCCACGCGTCATCTGCTCATGGTTCTGGTATAGTCGTGCCCCTCTTAAAGATGCAAGGACAGCGTGTGGTCCCCGTGCCCCAGGGCACGTCGGAGACTCCAGGAGCTGAGCAGGAGAAGGAGCTGCAGTTGCAGAGCAGGGCTTTCCTGCAGGGGGTAAGTGGCAGGTCAGGCCCATCTGGAGCTCCTGCTGTTCAGAGCTGCACGTGGCCCTTCCTCCTGTTCGTTTGGCTTTGAGGTAGCTCATGGGCACACGGAGGAAGGGGCTTCCCAGGGCTCGTGAAGGTCACTCCTCTGTGGTGCTGTGAGGCTTGTTTGTGAATGCAGCAACGCATCATCAAGGCTGAGCTTAGTTAAGCCTCTCTGCTCAATCCTGCCGTGCAGATCTGTGGAAAACGGTTTCCAAGTCTAGCATGAAGGCGGGTGAGCAGCTCGATTTGTGCACGTAGTGATGCTTTCCTTGCCTAACCTCCCCCTTGAGCCCACCCTCCTGCGAGGGGGTAGCCCTTCAGTTCACACCACACGTGTTCAGTCCAGCTGCGTCGCTCCCGGGAGCAGGAGGAGCCGGGATCGGAGCCCGTCCTTTCCCAGGATGAGACACTGCCACTGCACCACCACGTTAGCTGCAAAGGGCGGTTGTCCGAGCCCATGGATGACCAAAACATTGACCTTGCCACTTGTCTTAGGTTCTCCGTGTAACATTGACCAGGAGAATTTATAATATTGTGCCTTTTGTCCTCAGACAGCAATAGTTTTGAGCATTCAGTAAAACAGCTGTAGTCGTGTCTAGACTGCTGCCAATACTCTTCCTGAGGGTTTCTTAGTATTTTCCTCTAAAAAGCTGTTGCTTCCTCTTCCTTCTCACTAATATTTATCCCCTCCTTAAGCTTTGTCAAGCTACAACAGCATCCAAAAACGTGTAATGAGGCCTATTTGATAAGACTGTTCCCCTTTCATACCCTGTTCCTCTAAGATGTTTTTTACTGTAGATGCTGTAACAGACTTTAAATATGCAAAAACGATTACGGTAGTAATTGGTTCTGGTCCTGGAATTTCGTGGTGCTCAGAATACCAAGATTCTCGCACTTGCAGGCCAGAAGCAGTTGATTTGTTGATACACATTGTATCTGTGTGGGTTTTTTGTTTGTTTTTTTAAAAGTAAGTACATCTTGTGGTTAAACCAAGGTCGTAGAGTGGCAAATTATGAAGGGGAGGGCAGAAACCAGCTGATGCTGGGACTGCTCTTCAGGAGCCATTTTGTCTATTAGGAATTTTCCCTCTGTCCAAGGAGTGACCTACCCAAACTGGCACCATGTGCCGTAGAAACCACAGGGCCACGGAACCCTGTATACCTGGTGAATTATGATACATTACAAAATTGTAATGTTTCATGTTAGTAAGCAAAATGCTTCTTAATTTTAAGTAACCTGATACTTTGCATATTTGTAAATTACAGGAGAAAAAAAAAAAGGTTTTTAATGTTATTGTCCAGGAACTTGCTGCTTGATGCTGTTTTTAATTAGTAGTGTTTTCGACTTGGCCATTGTGTTACTTGGCTTGGTCTTTTGTTTTTCTGGCACGATGCTGATATATGCTTGTTCTCTTGCAGTCAAAAGATTAACATTTTGTACTCAAAAGCAGACATTTTATTGAACTTTCTGTATCCTTATGGAGTATATAGCTTCTGTACTGGATGGAGACAGCCATACAAAGCCATGGCAAAGAAAACTTGTATTATATAAATAAAAACTGCTAGCTTGAATGACTTGGTCTCTGGGTTTTTGCAAGTCCACTCTGTTTTCCTGGAGTGCTTTCCAGGAAGGTGGGGGAAATTATCCTGCCTGCCTGGGATTTCTGTGACAGGGATGAAGGATTTTCAATCCTGCAGCTGCGCAGTGAGATATAATGGATTGTTTTTGAATGGGGGGCAATAGCTTCAGTTTTATGGCCAGTTTTGCCTGTATAATCTGGAAATAAGTGCATGTTTTCTCCAGTTAACCCTTAAGAGAGGCATTAATTTTATACAGCTCTAATCCAAGCAGAGATGACACAGCCAGTTGCCTGGAGAGGCAGTAAAATCTATGTTGTATTTAGTGCCTTCTGTGGCAGATGTTGAGCACATTGGGATATTAACTGTGAAACAACAGGGCTCTACAGCAGGGCCTTGACAGGAGCAGGCAAGGAAATGCAGTAGGAATATTAATGTTTGCATTTTTGTGGAAAAATCTTCCCCCCCACCTGCTGTAAGGCAGCACAGCATGTTCTTATCTGACTTGGCAAATAACTTTACGGTCTTTATTCAAATTTGTGTCCTTAGTTGAATACAGAGCAATGGTTATTTCTAGTTAATTAAAACCAAGGGGAACAGGCGCTCCTGGAGTTAATCTAGTTTTCAGGTTTCAAAAAAACAAATCCGAAGTGTCCCGAAGCTCCCAGCCTTGAAAGGTCATTTATCGGCAGTGGGGGAAGAAACCCTTGGAGGTGCCTGGGAACGGGAGTGAGTTGGAGGGGGAGGCACAGCCTTGGGATGAGCATTCCAGGTGGGATGAGGCCTTCCAGCCCGGCAAGGACCCGCTTGCAGCGGATATAGATGGGAGCGGAACGGGGGCTTGCTTGGATGTGGCTCATGGTTGGGCAGCCCTCGCCTTTGCTGGGTCACTCCTGGCTCAAGATGAAAGCTACAGGCTCAAAAAGCTCCCCGGGGTTTCAAGGCTTCCAGTAAAGTGAGGTCTTTATGGGGAATGTTTGTTTCCCAGGGGGTGCGTGTGGGAATTCCCGTGTGTTTTGCTCCGACGTGGACGGCCACACTAAAGCGGCGCGTGCGGAGGCATCGAGTCGCTGCCGCCGCCCAGGGGGAAGGAGGGCGCGAGGGCGGGGACGCCCCCGGCCGGCGG